AGAGCCAGCACTGTCCAAAGACGTCTCCATGGTCATGTGGCCAGCATGACTAAATGCCAAAGGCGCATGCAATGCTGTTACCTTCCCACCAAAGGTGATTCCTATTTTTCTACTTGCTTTTTTGCATGATTTCGAACTGCTAGATTGGCAGAAGCTGGGACAAGTAACGGGAGCTCACTCCATTACATGGCACTAGGGATTCAAACCGCCTAACTACCGACCTTTCTGATCGACAAGCTCAGTGTCTTATATTGTAGAGCAAAACGGATGCTTAAAAAACTTGCAGATGTTTAAAGCATTCATTTTATCTTTTAAAATTTCTGAAACTTCCAACAAGTGTTGGCATTTTTGCAGTGAGTTCATCTTCAATTTGGTATAGAAATCCTGGTTCAATCCTTAGTCAGGTAGAAGCTCTATTTCCCTATTCTGTAGGAATCTAACCAACCATATCATACTGTATGTAAGATTGATTGAATACTATTATGACTCTCAGAGAAAGTGCTTACTATCTTGTGATGAAATGGGATGCAAGCAGATAGCTATTGTTGACCTCTCAGACCAGGTTGGCTAATTATCAGGAATGATGGTAACTGTAGTCCAACAATAGCTAGGAGGTCAAAGATTCCCAATCCTTGGAACTGACAACAAAAATAATTTCAGTTGCTTAAGTATATTTTCAGAATTGTTGTCTATTGTAGGCCAGGGGTTTCCAACTTTAAGAGTTGTGGACTTCAACTCCCAGAATTCCTCAGCCAGCCATGTCTTAACATTGTCAAAGTTGGAGACTCTGCTATAGCTGACTGTATACATTTAAATTTTGGTCCTATAGTTGAACAATTATCCAATTGCATTCATGTTTAGTGGAACAAGTCTTAAGATGTGCAACACTAAAGTGACTTCAACAACAGTTGGACTTATTCACTATCCAACATATTTGGCAACATCTTGCTTTTCTCTCATTGGTATCAGTTAAAACATTTAGAATGGCTGTCAGTAAGCTTGTTCTTAGTTGATGGAGTTCAGCTCCTTGCCAAATTGCTCCATCTTTCCATAAATTCTTCCTGCGCTTACACCTTCTGTGCAACTGACTTAAAATCTTGGAGGAAGTAGCTCTGCCAAAAGATGTTTTATGTGAACTAAAAGCATACATTTCTTTTATTATTGCAACTGGGGTGGATAACAATATGCATTTTATCAGTTATTTGTCAGTTGTGCAATAAAAACACAAAGCTAACGAAACTATTTAAAAGCAGTGTGGCATCCATTTTTGCAAGTGAAACCAAAGAGGATTTTGCCCAAACATGTATTTTTTTTTTGAGTATTTTATTAGGATTTATAGGCTGCCCTTCTCCCTGAGGGGTTCCTGATCTTCCATCACTTGGAGAATCAACTGTTAACTCTGAATGGCATTTGTCAAATGGGAAAGGCAATGCTCAGCTGTATTTTTTGGTAAATTTACTGATTGGAAAACAACTGGAGCCGCAAGAGCTGGATAAAATTTTACAGGGAACCGAAGAAAAAATGATTAAAAGAATATATCACTACTTATTAAAATTTAAAATGGAAGAAGAAACTGTGAAAGAAACAATGATAACATGGGTGATAAATTTTGG